AAACCCCTTCATTTTAAACCCAGAACCCAAACACAAAACTACATTAAAGTTTTCATTCAATTATATATCACACCAATAAAAATCCAATTAGCTCATTGGATTTAAATCTCTTCCTCGAAATTATCTTTATGAGTAAAATATTTTTCTTATTTTCAAATTTGATCAATAATATTTTACAAACTTTGGGATTATTCAATGTTACAAAAATCCATGTCATTTTATGACTTCCGGTTTGCATCGTAGTGACATGGCCAAGGGATTGCGGGGCTCCACACCCCACACCTGATTTCAAACGGTGATTGATCCGTTTGATCCAGGGAAAGCCCTCCAAACCAGCAGGAGAAAGGCTAGCTGCACTTCTGTGACTAGCCCAAGCTACCGACAACCAAAAAAAGAAAGCACCAACTAGAACAGATTGTGAACAGCATGTTGGGTGAGAATATTGATCCTTTCTTTTCTATTTCATAACAGGATTTCCTAGAAAAGACTCCCAAGAAGCAAAAAAAACCCTCTGAACGTGAGAAGGGGATTGCAGCCCCACCCTTCCATAGACGGAAGCGGCATTTTAATTCTTATGGGGGACAGAAATGCATAACATTGAAGTTGAACTAATATAAAACTATAGTTTGGACAAGCCTGAAAACTAAGACAATTGATAAGATCTTCTTTTTGAAAGAGCACAGGTAGTCCTCAGTTACGAGTGTAATGGAGCCTGCCCATTCCACTCGTAACTCGAAAACTTGTAGAGTGAATCTCGTTCAAGGTCACTTACCTTGCAAAATCTGTCTCCTCTCTGCCACAGTTTCTTTCCTTTGAGGGAGAGGAGAAAAATTTGAAAATGCTTTTTATGCTGACAATGAAAGCTCCTGGGTGCCGTAATATCACGCAAGTTCAAACACCCATTCTTTGCAAAAGAGATCATGGCCCATGGAAGCTTCCATTCTCGGGGGGACAGAAGAGTTTGCTTCATTTGCATGCTTCTGGGGCAAAGCATGGAATCGAAGTTAGCTAGGTGCAGGAACCAATACCGTCCATGGCACAGCTGAGCAGCTCACAGCAACCATCTGAGCAGCTATGATCCCCCTCCCCAGCAAGCCACCCGCCCCACCCGGCCTAATCCTTGCCTGGCCAGCCGGCTGGCACAAATTCTCACCACTCTTCTCTTCCTCCTTGTCCTCCTCACTCAAGTGGCGGCAGGAGATTGGGTTTCTCAGCTGTGTCTGAATGGAGGAAAGTGGATGCGCAGCAGCAAGATTGCTCTCAAACACTAAGACTCGGGTGCACTGCTTGCTTGTGCAGGCTGGCTTTATTGAGAGCAATCCTGCTGCTACGCCTGTTTCCCTCCACTCAGATGGAGCCGAGAAACCCAAGGTGCTGCCGCTAATAACCTTCTTATCTGAAGGGAGACCTTGGGCAAATTGGATTCTCTCTCTGTGAGCAAATGGGGCAGTTCAAAATGAAGCAAATCACTTCATTTTCAAACTTCAGATAGGCGCACATCAGCTTCTTATCAGAAGGGAGACCTTGGGGAAACTGGATTCTCCCTCTGTGAGCAAATGGGATGGTTCAAAATGAAGCAAATTGCTTCATTTGCAAATGTCAGATAGGCGCAGATCAGTTTCCGGAAGCTATGATCTCTTTTGCAAAGAATCGGTGTCTGAACTCGTGTGATATTACGGCACCCAGAAGCTTCCATTGTCAGCATGAAAAGCATTTGCAAGCTTTTCTCCTCTCCCTCAAAGGAAAGAAACTGCAGCAGAGAGGAGACAGATTTTGCAAGACTCTGGCACGGCAGGAAGAGAGGGAGAAGCAGTTGTAGGGAGTGGGGAGGGGAATAGGGTGAATACTGTACTGCAGACCCTCTGCAGTTGCTTGTAAGGGTGAATGACTACTATGGTATTGCAACAGTCGTAATTTTGGAACTTGCTCGTAAGTACTTGGGGGCGCTGATCACGTAACTTTGAACGAGTGTTAAATGAATGCTCGTAACTTGGGGATTACCTGTATTGGGGTGAAACTACAAGAAAATAATCTTCCATTTTAAAAGTCAGAAAATGAATATTCAATGACATCTAGTAGTGGATCAGAGTATAACACTATAGCTGCTCTGATTGATGTGAACTGGCAAGATGCCCAGAAATATGTAACAATTCAGCTCCTTTGATGCTCAGTGACTCTTAACTCAATAGAGAACAGCTGGGAACAGAGGAAAATACAGTGGGCTATCTACCACAGAGTGAGAACTGCAATTGTTTTGAAATCTGTTGACCTTCTTAGATTATAAACATCTACTGAGGTTTCACTTTTAAGCTTGAGAACTATTTGCAGAGAAAGAAAAACTCCTTACTTTTGTAGGGGGGAGGCTTTTGGACTGTTCTTAAGTGGCTGAACATTTTGGACTGCAAACTTTGGCTGATTGATAATTTTTGGACCCCTGAGCAGAAGAAGCATTACAAAACATTGCTTTTAGTGATGGATTGATAACTGGGAATACACTGGACTATAAAGGCTATACATAAAGATCATAAGAACTATACAAGACTTTGCTGTATGGATGTTAAGATTGGTTGTTTTATGATAGAATATCTGGAGGGGGGAGATAAAATGGATGCCTCCTATTTAATCAGAACTGGCAGGAAACCACACTTAATAATCCCATTTGAAGCCTCCAGCCCGGTATATCAGGAATCTGTAGGACTGACACCTCAAGACAAAGCAAACATCTTCCAGGAGGAAATACATTTTATGTTGCAATTAAAAGACAAGTGTTTCACATAGAAAAAACACAAGAAACCATGATGAGGTTAAAAACAATTTGGATAACATATATGAGCAAATATTTAATTTAAGCTCACAACTAAAAAACTCTCAGAAAATGACGATAAAGAATGAACAAACAAATCAGAAAACAGAACACAAACTAGAGGAAAGTGATCTAAAGATGGAGGCTATAAATGAAGGAAAACAAAAATCTGCAAGATTTTGTTATAATATCAGACGTGGAAAAGGCACCTTATCTTATCTGAGGATAAGAAAGAAGATCTGATAAAATGGATTTTAGTGCTGTCAGGGGAATCAACAGAGATTGGGAGACAAAAAATGAAAAGAGAAGTTGAGGAAGACGGAAAGTGAGAGTTGTTTAATGAATATATAAATGAGCGAAACTCCCCCCCCCCCAAATACTCTACCTAAATTGTTTTTCCCATTCCAAACAAGATCCATAAAAACACAGTAAGAATTACTTGGTGATTTAAACACACTAACTTGGAAAGTTATTTGGCAAAGGAAAAGGCTAGAGTTAGATTTAAGAGAACAGAAGATCTGACCTACCAGATGGAGTATTATACCTTCAAACATTTGTTTGAAGATAGTTAAAAGAATAGATAATTTTTAGATATAAACAGATTTTACAATAAGAAAGATATGTTTTATAATTAGAATAGCACCTTTTATGATATGGGAAATATAAAAATACGAGGATGGCTTATATAAATGAAACTTTTGAACACCCAAATGTAGCTAACTTTGAGAAAATCATAACTGAGAAAGATATCTCAAATACTGATGGGAAATTAAATTTAAATAAGAGCTTGAAAAACAGGATCTACATTGATCTAATAAAAAGATTTTAATTGCAAATACAATTGAAATATAAGTTGGTTAGAAAAGATGTTATAAATTGAGTTTATTGTTATTTATACAAACAGTAGAAAAATGTATATATCTAATTTTGTATGTATTGATAGTAGCAAGAACTGTATTTGCTTAATGTTGGGAAAATGAGACTACTGGAAAAAGAGAGGACCAAGGAAAGCAGGGAACCTTGCATACTGAATAGACTCACAATGAAGAAGCTAAGATGTAATACTGAGTAACAAATGAACCCAGACATCACGCTTTTTACTGAGCATGTATGATTTGTAATGACAGAAAATTAATAAAATATTTTTTAAAAAAATCTATGTCATTTTACAGCAACAGGCAAACTAAAATATCAGCTCTAGAGAAGTACTTATTAATCCACAGAATTCATCCAGGACATATTTTCTTGAAATGCAATAGTACAAACATTTACGGTAATATAAGACTGAACAATATAACACTTCACTCTGCAGATTTTCAAAAATTTCCTTTGGCTTTACTCTTTTTTCTGGTCCCTCTAAAAATCTACAAATTCAAATGTCATAGATAGTAGTTTGATCTAACAACTTCATGCTTTTTGCCTTCACAAATACTATTTGATCCACAGGCTAAATTGACACAAAGCTTAAAGGCTAATCTACAATTAATGGGTTTCACACAACACGGTTATTGAACTATGGCTACTGTGTAATCCCAAATGCAAAAGTGGATTTTGCTGGGCAACGACTTCAAGTTCCTAAGCCAAGTATTTAGTATAAATGTGACCTTGACAATAGGAACTGCTCATGCTATTAAAACAAATATTGTAAATCACTGATTTATCTTGTCGCCAGGTCTTAAATCTGTTATAGTCCTATGAATTACAAAATCTTCAAGGAAAATGCGCAATTTCAGTCCAATGAGCCATAAATGTCTCTCAGACATCTGAAACTATTTCCTCAAAATCTGTCCCTAACCTGGCCCGAGTGGGTAAGTGGCAGACGTTTAACTCCCTCAAGCAGAACGCGCGCGCTTCTGCGCGCGCGCGCAGCCTGATTTTTTTTAAAAAAAAAGGACGAACGCTAAATTTTTAAACTGTTTATAAGTAGTCTTTCCTTATGCTCCGCAGCACTGCACCATAAAATTTCCAGCAGGCTGTTGGAACCGAACCGGCATTAATAAAAGGATCCAGAAAAGAATTTTCCTTTTTCCTTTTCTATCTCCAAAGCTTTGCTTCAGGAGGCGAGAGAAAAAACGGCAGGAGGGAGGACCCGCCGGGCTGAAGAAAATAATCGAGCGACCACACCCAGCTCCGCGGGTGGGTACCAAAGGTGTGGGAAAAAAATCGGACCGAGCAACCTTTCTCGGATCTGCCTTACCTCTGCAAAGGACCGCCAGCAGCAGAAGCGCTAAGGAGAGGCTAAGGGCGAGTCTCCCCATAATCGATCGAGGGCCTTTGAATAGCTGTCTCTTTCAAAGTCTTGAGGTAAACTTTGCAACGCCTCTCTGGTGAGCGCCAAGAAAGCGCCTTCCTCTTTTCGTTCTCCGCTTTGTTTTTCCTTGCCCTCTTAGGAGCTCCGTTTATTTAACTAAGACCCGCAAAGCAACAACCCAAAGTTGGGGACTGAGCGAAAACAAGAGTGAACTGCGCTACCCCTAAGCTGTGGGGCTGCCTTCCAGGAACCGACCAACCAATCCCTGGAAGCAGCTAGATATCGACCTCCAATGAAAAGGGCGAACGGAATGTCTGTTAACCTCCCCCTCCCCAAGATGTCTAGCGACGGAAGACAGAAGCATTGAGTCATGTCCCCGTAATAGAAAACCCGCTGACGAGAGCTCCACGGGGTGTGGCGCATTTGGGATTTTTTAGGCTGGAGGGAAAGGGCGCTTGTAGAGTTATTGCCGAGAGATTATTGTATGTGCTTCAGAGGTAATAGAGTTTGCTCCCGGGGCGAGAATTTGGAGATCTACGGCAAGGGAAAAAATGAGTCTTAAAAAATATTGTACTGTTTTGTGGTTCGTCTTTTAATAGAGGTGCCTGCGCATCGGTGACTATAGTTTTAATGACCCCCAAGGGGCTATTGGAACTGAAGATCATGTCCTGCTGTATTGTATCATCTATCGGGAATCGAGCATCCTCCTTCTAATTCTTTAGCCTGGTAAAATACTCGGAAAATTCTGATTTTTAATGTGTTTCTTTTTGCAGTTGTGGTTAATGTCCAAATAGAAACATTTAATGGCTGGTGACTTCTTTCAGACACTGTTCAAATTTCAACTTTTGTCAGCTGTTCACTCTCGATCCAACTAATTTAAGAAGATTGTTGTGAGTTGATCTGGAAGAGACATAATATGCTTCAAAAATTCATATGTGGGTATAAAACATTCACTCCTTATGTGTATGGCTTTCTGACCATTAAATGGTCAGAAGTGTTTTGAATTGGTATGATAGCTTTCATACTTTTCAATTGCTTCACCTAAGCAATTTATCATTGGTTGTTGCAGAATCAAATTAGGAATTTCTGCAAAGAAACAATTCTCTATTAAGTCTCATTCCTCTTCTGTAATATATTATGGTGTGTTGGGAAATTCTATAGAGTTGTGTAACAGGTTTTTCCAAAAGGATACTCAAAGTGAAAAAAAGCTGTTCCATTAGCAAAATTCAGTATTCCTGCAATGCAGCTGTGAGAAATTTTGGGATTTGACTGGAGGTAAAGACTGAGGTTAAACAACATGCTTATCCTCAATTAATTGAATTGAGAATTATTCAGTCCAAATTTCTGTTTTCTAATACAGGTAATCTTCAATTTATGACCATTAGTTTAATAATCATTTGAAGTTATGATAATGCTGAAAAAAATTATGACCAGATCTCCCACTTGCAACCATCACAATATCCCTGTAATCACATGATCAAAATTCAAGTGCTTCTATTTCTGATGGTTGCAGCATCCCAGGGTCATGTGATCACTGTTCCCCATTAGCTTCCAGCAAGTAAAGTCAATAGGGGAAGCTGGATTTCCTTAATGAACGCAACAAAAATGGTGGTAAAATCGGGCTCAACTTATTTAACAACTGCATTGCTTAGTGATGGAAGTTCCCATTCCAATTGTAGTTGTAAGTTGAGGACTACCCATAACATATTAAGTCATATATTAAGCTCATAGGCTGCATTCCTATAATGTGCCAAGCTTAAAAAAAGTTTGACTTTCAATTTTGTCATGCAAACAGATAAATTGCAGTAACCTATATATCAAATATTGTTGTCAGATTCCAATTATATTTCATTTCTATCTACCTACTCTGATATAAAACCAATTCTTACTCTCTTCTGGATTCTGTCATATTACGGAAGGGGAGGAGGGTAAGCATGGGGGTTTTATGACTCTCACTTCCTTCATTAACGACAAAATGACCTGGTGTTTATTCTCTTCAAGAGGACTAACCATAACAATGCAGCCATTGTTTTTCATCCTACTCCCTCTGAAGTTCTCCCCTTTGCCGGCAATTAGGGAAAAGGGGAATGCAACGCCTGGAATCTGGAAAAAAAGAAAATGAGTGATCGTGCTGACGGAGCAGACTGACGGATTGAATTGCCCAGAAGAACTGTGGGGGCTGCTTGGGAATACTTTAAAACATTGAATGGTGGGAGAGAATTCCCCAGATCCTGTCTAGCATGCCTGCAATCAGTTTCTCTTAATAAAGATTCCTGTTTGAAGAGACATTCCAAGAGTTCTGTCTTCTTAAGATGTAAAATTGAGATGGGTCCTTACATTAGACAGGATCTGCAAAATTAGTCCACCTGGGAGAACCTTGCCAGTGGACCTTGCAAAAAATACCATGTCAGACGATGGAGCAGGGAAGGGAGAAAGCCCCCCAGAGAGGGAACCACTGCCCCAACTGAAAACCTGCCAGATGTCGGGATTTGAGAGGTCAGATTCCTCAGGAGAAGAGGTGGTGGAGACGTGTAACCACAAACCTCAGTGGTCAATGAGAGTTGGAAAGAAAGGCAAGTGGGAAAAGAAATCAAGAAAGATGACCCTGAGACGGGGGGCCAACCAACCAGAATGGAAGCAGGAGATGGGGAAATCCCTGTACACAAGCGAAGAGGAAAGAAACTGGGCACTGCACTTGAGCTGGATCCTAGAGAAAGCTATCGACTTGATGAAGAGAACCCTCAGCTCTCTAGGAGAGAAGAATTCTGAGCCCCACGGCCAGCTCCTGGAGCCGCAATGGGAGAGACACTGAGGGGGAAGTGGAACCTGCAGCCCCAGGGACGTCCACTGATCCAGTAGTCACCACTCCCCCCCTGACGCGCAGATGGCGATCTGGATAGAAGACAATACCATCCACAATAAAGGCACCGATCCATTCAAAGACTCCCGCCATTGGACGTGAGATTCAAAGGGGAGCCAACACGCTTGGGGTTTTTCCTAACCCAAGTCCTCAGCTACATGGAGGAATACGGGCGGCACATCCCTAGCGACAAAGCCCGTATCCGGATCGTGCAATCTGCTTTGGACAGGCCAGCCGCAGATTGGGTGGTGAATTTGCACGACTCCAATGCCCTAGAGCTCAACAACTTCAACCGTTTCATGTCCTCTCTGAGAAGGCGATTTGAGGACTCCCTGGCTGATTGCAAAGCCCGCGAAAGGATCAAAACCATAAGGCAAGGCAAATGCCCAGTAGCCAAATATACGCAAGAATTCCGTGTCATTGCCAGCAAACTGAACTGGCCGGAAGACATCCTCCTTAGCCATTTCAAAGATGGCTTAAACTACAACCAATATGACGCTTGCCTGCCCCGTGGGGACCCACACCAACTCAACAAATGGTACGTCCTGACAGAGGAAGCAGAGATCGACTTACTGAAGAGGTACCGCCGAGGAAAACGATGGAGCCGCTCACCGCCTGAGTCAACGTGCGAACCAGTGAAACCATCGGCTATGGCCAAGAAGCAAATGGGTTGTTTCAAATGTGGGAGAGATAGGCATCGGGCTGTAGAATGCCACTCGAAAGTCCTCCAGCACAACCCAGACAGATCACCAGCCAGCAAATCCGGGAAGTCTCCAGCTAAGCCAAAATAATCTGCCATGAGAGTGAGGGAGGCTGTGGAATCCCCTACCTCTGCCCATCGTGGGGAAAGAACTCCAGCCTACACTGCAGGGCCGGTGGATGCCTCAGATGACAGCTCGGACGGCGAACCCCTGGTAAGTGGACCCATCGCATCCATCCTCAAGACAGTGACTATATTAATTCCCTACATGCCCGAAGCTGTCAAGGTGAAAGCCTTAATAGATTCTGGCTGCACCCGCTGCTTCATTAGCCCGACGCTAGTGGGGAATCTGGGCATTTCATCAAGAAGGCTAGAACAACCAATCTCATTTGGCCAGTTAGATGAGTCCATAGCAGGGGGGGTGCCAGCTTCCCTAGCCATTTTACCAATCCACCTCTCCCTGGGCAACCATGAGGAAGACATAACGTTTGTGGCGACCCCATGCATGGAATGCCCGATGATTCTAGGGATGGAATGGTTAAAGAAATGGAACCCTGGTAAATTGGAGGACGGCAGAAATCAATTTCCCAAAAGGGGACCCTATGGACTTAAAATCCCAAGGGAATCTACTAAAATTAAGAACGGAAAAGGCATCCATGGGAGAAGAAAAGGGGCTACCAGAAATACCAGAGGAATACAGAGATCTTGCTGAAGTTTTCAGTGAGGAGAGAGCGAATGAACTTCCCCCCCCCACTGACCCACGGACTGTGCCATAGAATTCAAACCCGGAGCAAAACTCCCAAAGCCCAGATTATACTCTATGAGCCCAAAGGAGAAGGAGGAAATGGAAATATTCATAAAGAAAAACCTAGAAAGTGGGTTCATTGAACCAGCCAAGCCTAAAGTGGCTGCTCCGGTCCTCTTTAGAGATTATTATGTGTGGATTATAGACTCCTAAATACAATCACTGAAAGCAACCTATACCCCCTACCCTTCATGAAGGACATGTTATCACACCTCTCGAAAGGAAGCGTACTACCACGTGAGAATTAAGAAAGGGGATGAATGGAAAACCGCATTTAACTGCCCAATGAGGTACTACCAATTCAAAGTTTTGCCATTTGGATTACAAGGGGGACCCGCAGTATTTATGCAATTAATCAATGAGTTACTAAGGGAGCACCTATTTAAGGGGGTTCTGGTTTACTTAGACGACATCCTTCACCGAATCAAAAGAGGAACATGTCAACCTAGTCAGAGCGGTTTTAAAGAAACTGCAAGCCACCCACCTATATGCCAAACTATCAAAATGTGAATTTTACAAGGAAAGAATAGACTACATAGGTTATCGTATATCCCCACAGGGCATTGAAATGGACCCAGAGAAGGTCAGAGCAGTATTAGAATGGGCACCACCTCGTACAAGGAAGCAACTGCAAAGTATCCTGGGTTTCGCAAATTTTTACCACCATTCCCTCATTTGCCCAGATAGCCCTGCCCCTCACGAACTTACTAAAAACGAAGGGAGTATCCTCAGTAATACCTAGCCAGCCACTAAAATGGACAATGGAATGCCAAGCGGCATTTGAGAGATTAAAAAGACTCTTTTCTGCTGAACCGGTACTGAGGCACCCAGACATGGATAAGCCCTTCGTAATACAGGCGGATACAAGTGATGTGGCAGTGGGGGCTGTACTATTACAAGAAAATGACGAAGGGGTATTGCAACCCTGCGTGTACATCCAAGAAACTAACTGAAAAGGAAAAGCGCTGGCCGGTGCGGGAGAAAGAGGCATATGGGATACATTGATCATTACTCATGTGGCGCCAGTTCCTTGAAGGCAATAAAGTCCCTTTTCAGGTGTGGACAGACCACAAAAATTTGGAGGTCTTGAAAACACCCAGAAAGCTCAACCCCAAGCAAGCCTGCTGGTCCCAGCATTTTCACCAATTCCACTTTACGCTCAAGCATTTGCCGGGGGAAAGAACTTCCTGGCAGATGCACTATCTCACATGCCCCAATATAACAGCACGTGAGCCACCGACTCTAAACCGATCATGGTGGAATCACAATTGGCAGCACCAGTAACCACCAGAGCCCAAGCTAAATTAAACTGCAGCTGGGTAGCCAAACCAGAATTGAATTCCGGAAAAGTTTGGAAACAGATGAATGGTTGCAGAAAAATAAATATTTGTGCACAATGATAGACAGGCTGCCTTGGGTGTGGGAAAAGTTATATATACCAACAACCCAAAGAGTCACATTCATGCAGCTTTGCCATGACACAAAATCAGCAGGGCATTTTGGATTTGTAAAAACATTACACCTAATTAAATGGCAATTTTGGTGGCCATCCATGAAAAAGGACATAGAAAGTTACATGGCCAGCTGCCCAAAGTGTGCAACTGCCAAGAGGTTGTAAGGGAAATCGCCCAGACTGTTACAAACAGTGGCAAATCCCTCAGCCCCCTGGAGGGAAATATGGATTTTATAGTGGAATTATCAGAAAGCAATGGAAACACTGTCATCTTCTGGATGGTCACGGACTTGTTTTCCAAATAGGTGCACTTTATCCCTTGCCAATAGATTCCCACTGCAAAAGCTTTAGCATATTCCCACCGCAAAAGCCTTTTTGTGCAGCATATTTATAGATTGCATGGGGCACCCCAATGCATCATATCTGACAGGGCAGTGCAATTTAAGTCTGCATTTTGGAAGGAATTTTTATCCCTTTTAGGGACCACTTGGACTGACATCTAGCCATCACCCGTAAGGGAATGGTCAATCGGAAAAATCGGACTCAGTACTTGAGCAATATTTAAGATGCTTTCTTAATTTCCAACAGTCGGATTGGATGGACCTACTCCCTTTCGCAGAAGTGGCCTACAATAATGCAGTCCACTCCTGCACAGGTTATACTCCCTTTCAAATAGCTACCGGTCAAAGTTTCAACCCCATGCCAGAACTAACCCCAAACGAACCGGCAATCCCATCACTGAAAGAATGGATGGAACAATTACAAAACATCTGGCCAATAGTTAGAAAAGCCCTAGATGAAACTAGGCAAGCATACAAAGCACAAGCAGATAAAAAAGGGTTGAACCTACACCATTCATTATAGAAGAAATGGTGTACTTATCTACAAAATACCTAAAATCCCTACAACCCTGTAAAAACCTTGGACCAATATATATAGGGCTTTTTCCAATTAAAAGAATCATAAACCGGCTTCTGTTTCCAGGTCACAGCGCTGCAGTTGTGCAGAGAGGCTCATCTCTTTGCCAGCCAAGTTTTCCCCGCTAGTAGACCCTTGATTGGGTCGAAAGTTGCCCTGGAGGGGCGACCACCATTGAGGAGGCTGCCTGTTTGACTGCAGAGGGGTGCTGCTCGAAGCACGAAGCTGAAAACACCAGCCTGAAGATGACGAATGGGACTTCGTCGAAACGTCGCCAAGACACTTCCAATTTTACGCGGGAGAAAACCCGAACAACCAAAGACCTACATACATACATACATATATACACATATACACATATACACATATACACATTAAAAATAAAAGTAAAAATATGACTCTTGGGAATATCCATACTATTAAAACAATGATCACCAAGAGAATGCTTTAAGAGAATAAAATTACATACACACAAAGGTAAAAAAAGGATATATGCAGTGTTATC